ACTTAATATTCGAATATGAGCCCTTTTGCATTTTTCTTAATATAATTTATTGGTGAGGTTATAATTTTGTACCGAATCGTATATCAGTCATTTTTAGTGTTTCAATTACCCATTGAAGAAAGTGAAATGTTCGTTTTTCCCAGCTGGGGGAAAAGAGAACACGAAACAATTTGACTACTCTTGTTGTGGATGGAGCTAGCTTCGGTAATTTTGGGCGTACATGGATCTAATCTATATCAGGACGTAGAGTCATTTTGCCGCTACATTTTTTACCAAGAAGGTGTTTAGAAAAAATTCAAAATACGAATATGAAATGAAAAATATTTTTATTAAAAATATCACTCTGTTATACGATTACTGTTCTTTTTTCCCCAACGAGGACAGCTAAATATGCTTCTCTCGCAGATGCGAGGAAAAAGAACACTGGCCAAACGGGTACGGACTTTTTTGCTCCCAATCCTGTACCATATGCCACCCAATGGTATTTTTTACACCAATCTATAGCCAAGAATCTCCTCTAAAACTCATCCACCACAACTATTAAAAGATCTTTCGAAACCGCTGACATACAGGAGAAATTCGGAAAATTTTCAAAATTCTGTTCTTTTTACCCCACCTGACTCGGAAACGTTGATATCAGTAGAGGCTAACCACATTTCAACAACACACACAAGGACCGGATTAAAGTTTGTAACTTCTAATTTAAGTAACTCAAAGTTTTTCATGGGATTTTAAACATCAGAAAGCAAACTACTAGAATTGAGCAACAATTATTTCACCAACTTAAATGGCCACCGTATAAGGTGGCTATAGCCATACTTAAACTGACGTAGCAACTGTATCTTTGGCAAACTTGTTGATGTTAAAGGGAGAAAGAAAAAACAAAGATAAAGAAACAGATCATCATGTATCTATTAAAGAAGTAGAAAGAAAAAGAAGCAGTGCACTATGTCCGTATTTCGTCACTTCTTAACCATAACTAGAATTTGAACTGATTGATTTACCTTATATCCCTACTTCAACAATGTAAACGTGCCATCTTGTTTACGTTGATAGACACGACCGTTATAAATGATAATATTTTTCTTAACTAAGCCTGGAAGTTTTGATCGTTCCTGTTTCAGAAGATTAAAGGTGCCCTTTTTAATGTCTTTATTCCCTTGACTGAAAGTCTTGGGTCATACAAACGAAATGTCCGTCCGTCCGACCGTCCGCAGTAGGCGAGCGACATCGTCGTACGCGTCCTCCCGAGCGTTAGCGACAAAAAACAAAAAAAACACGTAATTACTACTTTTCTCAACAGCAGGACATCCTAGATCTGCGAGCCCTGAATAAAAAGTGTCAGAGATTTAATTTCACATATTTTATCTGCTGGCATCAGTTTGCTTAATTAGCGAGAAAAACGCTAATTTTTGATAATTAACACTTTTCACCGTGAAGCTAGCATCTGACAAATCTGGCTCTCGAACCGAAAATGTCCGAAACTAAATTTTACATATTTTATCTGCTGGCACCAACTTCGTGGCGATCTGTAATCGCGGACTGTGGGAGATGCGGTATGTTGGCGTTGGGTTAGTGGCTTTTTGTGCATTTTCCATGTTTTACCCATGGCGACTTCTGTTTTATTCGTAATTTGGTCCAATCAGGTTAGGAGTTTTTTTTGAAGTTGGTGATTGTGTGTGTGTTTTCCGAAAAGGGGTTGGGTGTAGTGCTGTGTATCGGATTTCGTTGGCAATGTGTATCGTTGGTGGTAGTGTTGTGGTGCATGCGGCTGGCTTAATGCGACACCTAGCTGTATGCGTTTGTGTCGTGTTTCGTTGTTGTGTGTTCCGTACCGGCGAGTTTTGTAGTTTTGTGTGATTGTTCTTTTGAGAGTGTGGGTAGTTGTATACTGCAGCTTGGGTGCGGATTGATGTAGGGTGTGCGGAGGTTTTGGTGATGTTGTGTCAGGCATGCTTTGCTTCCTTTGTTTGTGGTATCAGGTTTGTTTTTGTGCGGACTGTATCGTTTGTTTTCGAGTTAGCGGTTTGTTGATTGTTTGGAAGTTCTTTTCCGATTAAGTCTTTCTACAGTTCGGAACGAAGGAAGAACTGCCGAAAGGGTTGGCGATGACTTGTTCGTTGATGTTGATTAGAATGTTTAGTGTTGACGCGTATCTCGCCGTCTGCTAGCTTGCGCGTTTTGGGGATATTCTGAGGGCGTGTTTGTTTCTCAGATGCCACCAGAGTTAGCTTTTTAAACATCCCGAGAGGGGCCAGAGAAAACTACCTGTGACCTTTCGGAAGAAGTAATACGAATAGTTTCCTCATTTTGGACTATTTTCAAACGATTAAAAGGTTGTCACGGTGACTTCTAGACCCATCGAAATCAGTTTTAAGTAGATAACTGGAGTAGTTTTGTTCAACCATACCGAAGACAACAAAATTCATTTTCTGTAAGATGCGAATTTCGCGCACCGTACATGTCGGGTTCGTTAGCATAAGAATCTTTCAGTCAAGGGTTAGTGAATCGAAGATGAGCGTTACTTGTAGATCAGGATAGTCGAATTATTTTTTTAAAGTAAAATGAAGAGAACGCAGAATCTGTGAAGGTTTCGGCCAAGAATAAAATCTAGCGATAATAGCGGGGGTGTTTCCTTTTTGATATTCATTAGTTCGATGAGAATTCTCGATGTCATAATCGCTAATGTCAATATGCAAATAATTGTGAACAGAATCAGCAAGTCTAACCGTAATATATTTATTCCTTTCTTCTGGAAATCCAATAAATCGTAAACAGAAACTCCAGTTGTTCCTTTCTTGTTCTTCAACAACTTTTAACTGCTGTTGCGGTTCAATTAGTTATCGGTTAGGTTTCTCCAGGTGTTGACCAAATTTTTCAGCTGTATTATCCGACATAACATCAATTATTTTTTTCGCATTATCAGTAATATTTCCACTATTTTTGCTCAAAATTTCTCGAATATCATCTTGTAAGTCTTTATTTGCCAGCAGCGTTTCAAGAAGCATTATCTTGCTGTAACCAGGTTTCAGCGTTAAGCGCAGTGATGATGAACGTTCCGAGCTAGTATTATTAGCATTCATCAAGTTGAAATGAACACTTTGAATCAAATACTTACGTAAATTTTAACAAATTTATAGCTATGCGTTCGTTCTACATTATACCTACATTCCTCCTGGTGATAAAAAGAAGAAGAATGGAAAAAATTAGAATTCCCAGATCCTTTTATTTCATTAGTTGTTGTTTGTTTCAACTGGCAAACTCGTTACCGTAAGCATTAGAAATATGGCTTATAACAACACTTCATTCGACTTCTTATGCACGACAGATAGTTATTGTCTATTAGGTGAACATATTTGGAAAATATTTGGTATATTGTGTGTTATTTTTGGTTTACCTGGCCATATATTTCTTATCACAATTATGCTTAATAAAAATAATCGTAAACAGCCACTATCATTTTATTTTGTCGTTATAGCTGTTTTTGAATTCATTTTCACAATTGGTATGTTTGTTGATTTGAACACTTTTTCAATAGCTTGCGCATGCCATGAGAGGCGTTAAATTAGGGCGTGCGAACAGTGTGAAATATGCAAAACTGGGCTGATTTTGTGAATCACATTACTTACTCACAGGATCTTTTTTTCGTATTTATTGCATTATAATTCGTTAAGCGTATCGTAATGCCTTGTAATGTGTTAACTTTTCTGTTGTGTTATAACGCCATAAATTTAGAAACCACATGTCTTTAATGCATTGTAATGCATTAGCGTAACGCATTACGTGGGAAAAACTGCCCAAAAAATTGAAATTATAGTGTTATAATGCATTTTTATCGACGACTTTCTCGTATTTTATAATGTTAAAACGCTATAAATTCGACTAGCGCGTTAGTAATCTGTATGCCGTTACAGGGCTTTTCCTCATTCCTGTCACATTATAATGCATTAATCTGTAACGCGTTGCAATACGTTGCGGGTTAATGTATTATGTCGGTATAATATCTAACACATTATAACGTTATAAATTTATGGCATCACAATGCATTAACTGTTCAGGAGCTGTAACGTTATACGTGACAGTGGTAATATATGTGCTGTGAGAGTTTATGTCTCGGATCAACCTTTCGAGAAGAATTGGCAGAATTTTATGGAAATGTGTCCTTACGAGAAAATCATGTATTTTCCTTTTGGATATTGTCTAGCTCGTTGTAATGCATAAATACATATCGTGTTACACTTAGTTCCATTTTCTTATCTCATCGCAATGAGATAGAAAAGAATAGTGCATTGTAATCTATTAGATATTAACTCGTTGCAATGCGATATTCATTATCTAATGAGTTATAAAACTATAAAAGATTTTTCCAAGTTTATGGCACGATAATTAGATAAAACATCTAAGGTATTATAATGCTATAAATTTATAGAGTTGTTATACAGTGAAAATTATTATCCATCTACAACGCCATAAATTCCTGAAAAATAACTTTGCAACGCGTTATAATACGACGGGCTACGTCTATCGCGTTGTAATGAGACAAATCTACAGCATTGTAATACCACAATTTTAAAAAAGGCATGTTTTATAGCGTTATAATGCTATAAATAAGGAAAAAAGATCCTGTGGGTAACGAGGCACAATTTTTTCAAAAATATCATAACAATCAGTGTAATGTCCAAATGTAGGCAACAGTGAACACTTCCTGTGACAAGCCAAATTTCTCTAGAAAATTTCTTTCTGCGACAGTTACTTTTGCCACTCCGGGAGAACGACACGGATCATGAGACAAGAGTGTTATTGCTTTTATAGTGGAAGTTCGAAATAGCCTTTTCCATTTAGATCTGATTTTATTTAAAAATAGATAATTACATTACATTTCAATGAAACGATCGGTTTCTTTTTTAACATTATTGATTTCAACCTTAGTTCTTTTACATGTTACTAATTTGAGAAAGTCTTGCCTAAACTGTGTTGATGTAACTAAATTAATATAGAATTTATTTTGAGTAATTAACTGCCATTAATGTTGAACATAAATCGAGTAACATTTTCCACATTCCAATTTTTCGACAGTCGGTATTATCATCTAGAAAATATGAACTAAAAAAGTGTAAAATCGTTATTGGTAATATTGTTAGCGTTGAACAAATAGAAAATATAACTAATAATAATGATAACGTTTGCATATGAGTTGCTGCTATTGAATTCACTGTTTTCTTCTTACGATGGTATCTATTCCATAGTATTATGAATGAGCATGTACATATTATAAATGATGGTAGAAATGCAAATAAAACTGAGTGTAGTATTGGCCATATACGTCCAATCCAGAGACGAGCATCTGGATAATATTCACATGTTCTAGCAGATAATTTCATCTCTGCCTGATAATACAATGAAAAATGGAAATGTATCATTAATAATGAGGTGATTAATACTGTTAATATTATTCTTAAAAGAACTTTTTTATTTGTAACAATTTGTTGATATTTATGTGGTAATACAATAATCAAAACACGATCAAATGATCCATTAGCTAATAGGAAATTTGATATCATTGATGAACCAACTACACATGAATAATAACCGCCACAGGATAATATATCACGTGGATCCCTTTTTATAATCGACATTGATTGTAGCCAAACCCATAATACACCTATATATATAACAATGATATAGGTTTCATTTTCAAAAATTTTTGTAAAATGTACAAACCAGTTCAGGGGCGTGACTCCACTCTTGGAGCAGGGGAAACGCAACAAATATTTTGGTATTTTTTTAAAAATACCCTTGCATTCCTCTCTCCCTCTCAAAGTTTTTTTCTCTATATGATCGTTTTTTTGAGAAAAATAAAACTTTTTCTTTCATCCCGTATGAGCTCTTTCAGGATAACACCGATGTTGACCGATGCATGTCTTGTGAAAAACACGACATAAAGTAGGAGGGATGAAGATATTCAATAGAGCAAAATATGCGTTATCAAGTAACAATGTGATAGTATATAATGTTCGTTTTGTTTAAAAGAGAATTCGGCTATGGAAAGTAGGAAGAAATTGCTTCAAAACTGTGCTGATGAAACAACGTAGGCATGCACCGATTATGACATCAATTTCCACTTTTTTCTGCGACGGGTTGCATGAAAAGTATATTCAAATTTTCTAACAACTGGGTTTTGTGAGGCAAACATTGTTTACCTTGAGCAAACAGTTAAGGATGCTGCCTCTTTTGTCATTCAATGTTAACTTCGCCGTAAACATACTATAATAACGGGCGATCCAAATCACACTCCTTATCCTTCAAAAACTATTTTTTGTTAAGTTAAGCTTGATGAAAAAATTGGTTTTGATATCAAAAGATAGAGAACTTTTCCTAGACTTCACTGTCCTAGTCTCTAAAAAATTTTCGTATTCTACAAAACCAGAAAAGGGTATTTCCATGCCGGAATAACCCTTTTGGAATCTTTGAGTATCAAATGCAGGTACGCTCTTTTTTTTCGTTGTGTGGAATTAAGACTACTCTCAAAGGAACCTTACAAAACTAAAAAAGGTGCACTAAAATACTAAAATGGCATTGTAAAATACGGTAAGGGATATTTTTAATTGCACAGAAGCAAAAAAAAGAGGGTATCTGTATTTGTTACTCAGAGATTGCAAAAATTGTATCTCGGCATGGAAATACCCC